TACACACCAGGCCTTGTTACCACATAGCCTGCCACTACACACCCCCTGTTGTTAGTCACTAACAGTCCCCATTAACAACTATTCACCCTCCCAGCCTGATCGTTAGCAACGCCTTTGTCTGTCCAACTGTCTTTCTCTCTCTTCAGGCTCTATCTTATCGTTTACTCCCAACCCCACCCACGTCCCTATTTTCTGCATATAAACTGACGTTTTCCCAGCCACCATCAGTTCTGAGGAATGGTCACCGGACCTGAAACCGTTTTTTCCTCCACAGATGCTGTCAGACCTGCTGAGCTTTTCCAGCAACTTTGATTTTGTTCCTGATTTACAGCGTCCGCAGTTCTTTTGGTTTTTTACCTTCTTGCCAATAATTCTCATCACGACATATTTTGGGTTTCACCACAACCACTCAGTTTCAAATCTTATCACAGCTTCAATGTGGCCACAGATATAAGAACTGAATGCCAGGGGAGAGGCAATTGAAGCTACTGATCACATCAAGACTGCTTTTGACTGAGAATGGCACCAAGGAGCCCTCCAGAATGGAGACGAATCGAGGTCAAGGAGAAACCACCCCAATATTTGGAGTGTTATGAGCAACCGAGCGAGACAGCCCTTGATGTTCAAGAATAATCACGACCATGCCAAATTACTGCTGCAGATGCTACACAAAGATGTGACCGTAAACCAAACAAATAGCACTATTGACTGAGTCCACCACTATTAACTTTCTCATGGTTACAGACACTTAGTTTGACAAACCAAGTTGAGTTGAGGAAAAGTAAAGATGTATTTAAAATAAGGCTAGAGGGGTCAGTAAGGAAGAAAAGTAGAGAAAGTGACACTGATGGGTTGAGATTAGGAAGTGGCTCTTGTTAAGCATAATCATCATTGATCTGCAAAAAAGATGACCATGTAAATATGATCAGCAGCTACAAAACTACAAAGTAGGCTTTAGACTATATACTTCTTAAAACTAAGAAACTGACTGTGAAACAAGAGTCTTACCAAAAGACTAACCTCTTAGTTGTCACAATAATACCCAATCACAAACCAAGATTAGTTAAACCTAGGAATATTCAAAATGCACTCAATATCTTCACAGACTGCTATAAGTATGACATTTCTGCTGTAATGCTGACTGTTTTGAGATCTGAGAAAATGGAAATTACCAGTGAATTTCTCAGTCTTTATCTGCCTGGTCAAAAACAGTTTTAAATCAGTGTGGCCACTGCATATGGTGGAATGGTGGCTCAGTGATTGGCACTCTGAGGCACCAGTGCTAGGGACCTGGGTTCGATTCTACCCTCAGGCGACTGACTGAGTGGAGTTTGCACATTCTCCCCGTGTCTGCGTGGGTTTTCTCCAGGTGCTTCGTTTCCTCCCACAGTCCAAAAATGTTAAAGTTAGGTGGATTGGCCATACTAAATCGCCCATAGTGTTCAGGGATGTTTAGGCTAGGTGGCTAGGTGGGTTGGGGAGAATGGGTTTGGGTGGGATGCTCTGAGGGTCAGTGTTGACTTGTTGGGCCGAAGGCCCTGTTTCCACAGTGCAGGGATTCTATGATAATGATTCTGTGATATATCAGTTTTGTTCTATAGTTAAGTGTTCATTTCAGTGGACAAGAATGTTATGCCAAGCAATTAAAATCCAAAAATAAACACAACAGAAAACCAACAATAAAACACAAACAAGCCAAACCTGGGACCCTCTGCCAATTGGTTCCTTTGGGGGAAACAGTAGAGAGAAGCACAGATTATTACACAATATGGGATGAGTACTTAATTCTGTCAAACAGACACTCACTACAAGTGCAAATTTTCAAATTGGGGCAAGCAGAAATCCCGTACTTCCAACACTAATAGAGTCTTCAAGATAACTGAAAACAGTGATGTGCTCAGAACTGAGATAACAAGGTGTAGAGCTGGATGAACACAGCATCAGAGGAGCAGGAAGGCTGACGTTTCGGGCCTGGACCCTTCTTCAGAAATCATGTGCTCAGAACTGAAGTCTAACCAACTGATTAGACATTGCAGTTTCAAATTCTTGATAAACTAACATAACAGAAGTCATCACTAGGAAACGAATTCATTCTTCTGTTCAGCAATCAGCACTGACAATACATCAGGATCAAGATATTGTATTCAAAAGCTAGCCCACCTACAAACACACGCCCCCAGGGTGTGTTAAACAGTATTGAAAGTTTCTGCTTGTTTACCATTTACAGGCCTTTGAGTAGATTCTAAATATCAGTTTGTGAATGGAAGGATATTAATAGGCAAACTTGAAAGGCTTTAGAGTGCAATTTGCTTAAAAAATATGTTCTAAGAAACTAGCAAATAAACTGGACATTAATAAAAAATACTTTTTTTGTTATGTACACAGTTAGTACACACAGTCAGTTCTGCTATAATGCATGTTCTGTCAATGCGAATATTATGTAATGCGATCGACAAATAGGAGAACGCTATTTCTAAAACACGAACTTGTGTTGGCTATAACACGATTCCATTGGTGTGTGGACGAGTATGTGTCGACATCACACAATCATTTCACGGGCTTTGTCGTGAATACATACAATGTTAGTGTCGAAAGAGTCTCTGTGCTAGCATCACATGATCATTTCGTGGGCTGTGTCATGAAGTGTTTTCTGTGAGACGTATAGTACAACCTCCTCCCCTATCAAGTCATCTTGTCATTCTTTTCAAGGGAAAGTGTTAAATTTACTTTTATTTCATTATTAGATCTAAATTAAACATTTATTCAAATTGTGCTATGCTTTGTGTTAGGTTTTGGAATGATTTTGGGTGTTTTTTTTGGTGGTCTGCTCCTAATCCCACTTTTCCCATAAGCCCCATTATTTCTACAGCACAATTTTATATTACGGGATATTGCACAGGAACACAACTATCGCGTTATAGCAAAACTGACTGTATTTCTAAACATTTTCTTAATTCATTCTTTCATGAGATGTGGGTATCACTGGCCCATCCCAACTGCCTTTGAACTGAGTGGCATGCTTGACCATTTCCAAGGTTGTCAAGAGTAAACTACATCGCTGTAGGTCTGAAGTCACATGTAGGCCAGACCAGGTAAGGATTTCAGCTCTCTTTCCTAAAGGGCATATATGAACCAGATGTGTTTTTTTTATACAAGATTTTGTGTTTACTTACATTAGGCTAGTTTTTTGATCAAGGTATTTATTGAATTCAAATTTCACCATCTGCCATGGTGGGATTTGAACCCATGCCCCCAGAACATTAACCAGCGCCTCTGGATTATTAGTACATTGATATTATCATTATGCTATCACCTCCCTGTAACAGCATTATATTATTATTCTAGACACAGAAAAAGTTATCCTTAATAACCAAGGGCGTTGAAGTAGAAGGGCAACTATAAGATAAGACTGTAAGATATATCAGCAGAATTAGGCCATTCAGGCCATTGAGTCTAATCCAATGTTCTATCATGGCTGTTGGAATGAAAGACAGCTTTGGTAAGACCACAGCAGAAGTACTGTGTATAGTTTCCATCTCTCTACCCCTCAAAGAATAGCTTGCCTTAGAAATGCTGCAATATAGATTCACTGGATTGTCTGAGCTGATAGAGCGGTCCGAGGTGCAGGGATTGAATAAAAAGGGGGCCATATTTTCTGGAGTTTGGAAGATGAGGATGACGTGTTTTGACGGTTTGACAGGGTAGACATTGAGTAACATTCCCTCTAAGCTACTCGGCTGAGTAGATGATGCCAGCATTGACTTCACGCTTCAGAAGTCACAACCATGCATGAACCTTGGACCTTAGAAATCATGTAGAGAAAAAGATATTAGGGGGAAGGCTGTTTCTTACAGAGAGTCTACAACTGGATGCCATATTCCCAGGATAAAGGTCAATGGTGGTGGCATAATGGATTATTAGCACGCTGACATTACCAGAGGCTCTGGTTAATGTTCCTGAGACATGGGTTCAAATCACACCAAGGCACATGGTGAAATTTGTATTCAAAAATTTGCATTCAAATTAAAATAAAAATTTTGAAATTAAAAGCCCACCTAGTGGCAGCCATGTAACTATTGTCGATCATCATGAAAAACCCAGCTAGTTCCCAAATGTCCTCTAAGGATGAAAATCTGCCATCCTTACCTATTCTGGCCTACGATTTACTCCCGACCCACAGTAATGTGGTGACTCTTCACTGCCTTCTGGGTGATTAGCAATGGGCAAGCCTTGCCAGCAACCCACAGCCCGTGGAATGAATAAAAACCAAATTTAAAGGAAGAACTAATTTAATTTAGGCTGTCTATGCTAATGGGGACTTTAAACAAAAACTTAAATCTACAATTTGATTAATTATTCAGTATCATTAACTGTAGTCTGAACAGGCAAGCAGCATTTGAATTTATACATATGAAGTCATTATAATTTTTAAATTTACTTTTTTTGTGTAGGGACAGCAAATAAAGAGAATAGTTTAACTGTCTCTTCCTTATATCTGAAATCACACATAACTAATAACAAAACTGAGAAGATTCAATACTAACTTGTTTTTCCAGTCGTTGTCGGTTTTGGCTCGTTGCTTGCGAGCAGCTCTTTGTTTTTCTTCCAACCTCTTCTTTTCTTCACTGGCTAAGTCTACACAAGGTCAAACAGGCATGTTCATCAATATTTCTGCAATAGTTAAACCAGCAACTACATTTCTGTAACAGACTTAGCAATGACGTGTGTTCAGCTTTGGCAGTCAATCCTTAAATTTATATTGCACTTGTATCATGAGGACTGAAAAATAAGAAATTCAAAACCGTTTTCTTCTTTAAAATTCCTGAATGGTCAAATATAATAAAATGCAGTTTCCATTAAATTCTTGCAGATAATCCAAGTAAACTGTAATAACAGATTTATATAGCACTTTGCGTGTAATAAGACGTGCTAATGTGCTTTATAGAAGCGACACAAAATAAAATGACTTCCAGCCACAAGATGTTCAGGGATGAACAAAGCTGGGTAAAAGAGGTGGGTTTTAATGAGAGCCTGAAAGGAGGAGAGCGAGGTTTAGGGAGGGAATTCCAGAGCTCAGGACCCAAGCAGTTATTAAAAGCCAGCATGTTAAAGAGGTCAGAATTAGAACAGCACAGACATCGCAGAGGTTGGGGAGATGGAGAAGATTAGAGATAGGGGAGGAGTGAGACCACAGAGGGTTCTGAAAACAAGGATGGGAGTTCTGAAATCGAGGTGCTGTTTAACTAGGGATGAGCATGGGATAAGAAGTGAACAGCATTTGGTGCAGTTTAGAGTATGGACGGTGGAATTCTAGATGACCAAGGGTGCAGAGGGTAGAATGTGGGAGGCTGGACACTAGTGTGTTGGAATTGTCAACTCTGGAAGTAACAAAGCCATGAGTAAGGGTTTCTGTTATAGAAGATTTCAGGCACAGCATAGAGACTGGCAACGCCATGGAGATGGAAATAAGCAATCTTAAGGATGGCATTGATAGATGTTTGAAAAGCTCTGTCAGGATCAAACAGGACAGCAAAGTTATGAAAGAGATGAGGTGGCTTCATGCGATTGCTTAGGAGGAGGGGTGGAATCAAAGGCGAGGCAGCAGTGACTGTGATGGGGATCAAAGACAATCACTTCAGTATTCCCAACATTTAACTAGAGGAAATTTCTGCTCATTAATTATGAATGTGGATGAGCAGTTTGATAATCTCAAACAATGGATGAGTTTTGAGGCGTACCGATGAGGTCGGGTTGGGGGTGGGGGGGTGGTGTCATCAGTGTCCCCTCACCAATTATGTCCACAGCGTGATGCTTCATCCTACCCACCTGCAGATGCATATATCACACCATTATTACTTAATCTTACACTTCAAAAATCCCACCCAAAGACAACTGACAATATTAGGGGAGGAATTCCATTAATCTATTATTTTCATTACACTTTTTTTGGCATGATACAATCAATAACTCAATTCTGGATTTTGTGTTGATAAACATCTGGTTCTATAGGATAGACAACTTTTGACTAGGAAGTACCAAAAGAGACCTTCCCATATGGCCACACTGATTCAAAGAAACTTCCAGGCACATCAAGTACTCAAGTCATTCAACGTCTGATATATTGGGAGGAATATATTGGAGGACACTGGAGTGGGGACCATGAGGTGAGGGATGGGCATGGGCACAGAGCGGAAACACTTGCGTGCAATTCCTGACGTCAGGAAAACTGTCACTCACTCAATTATCTAACATTAAACTTGCTTATACAATTGTAAGTAGTTTTCAAGTGCACTGTTCATTTTATTAGCTATACTGTATCATAGAAACAAGGACAGGAGTAGACCATTCAGCCCTTTGAGCCTTCCCTGACATTAAATATAATGGCTGATGATCCAACTCAATATCCTGTTCCCACACCCTTTGACCCTTTTAGTCCTAAGAGCAATATCTAACTCCTTGAAAACATTCAATATTTTGGCCTCAGCCAGAAAAATTCCATGGGCTCACTACTTTCTAGGTGAAGAAGTTTCTCCTCAAATGGTCCTGGACTCCAGGGTTACTGGAAACATGCTTCCTGTGTTTACCCTGTCTATTTGTAACAAGTTTATAGGTGTTCATGAAACCCCCCCCCACCACTTCTAAACTCCAGTGAATATAATCCTAACTGAACCAGTCTCTCGTCATATGTCAGTCTTACCATCCCATGAATCAGTTTGGTAAATCTTTGTTGCTCTCCCTCAATAGCCAGATTATCCTTCCTCAGATAAGGAGACCAAAAGTTTTACTGGCACTCTCTCTTATGTTAAGAAACAGATAACGAAGGCTCCAAAAATAATAAAAAAAACTTCTCTCCATGTTTCCTTTCAGAACAATTTCTAACTGCTAACATTTGATCGTACCTATATCACCATTTTCCATTGCTTTAATGTCAGGTCTGAATCGGCAATCAGTGGGTGCGATAACAGTCTCCATTTCTTTATCCAGTTCATTCAGTGACATCGCAAAGCTGGTGAAATTGTACATCTGGAAAATATTCCAAAAACATTCTACAAAAATAATTTGGCTCAAGTCCAATATTGTAGAAATGAAAACTACTGACATTTAAAATCGGAAAGACTTTGATCTCTGTGCCATTTTTCGCAACCTCAGGGTGTGCCAAAGCAGCACTTTGTTGGTAGAACAGAATCACTGGCGACGGCAGGCATGCCAATCTTGCACACTGCAAGATACCACAAGCAGCATGTGACAACCTGATTTTTGCAAATGCTGGCCAAGGGACAAGTACAGGCCAGTACTTGTACAGTACTGAATGGCTCACTTGGCCATTTCAGAGGAAGTTAAGAGTCAATAACATTGTTGGGGGTAACACAGGAATAGCTACACATGAGCCAAACCAGGTAAGGAAGGCAGATATCATTTGTTAAAAGACATTAGAGAACGAGATTGATTTTACAAAAATCAGTGATAGTTTTATGGTTGCCATTAGTGCTTTCAAGTGTAGATATTTAAAATTTCACTAGGTGCTGTGGTTGGATTCAAACCACTTCCCATAGCATTAGCCTAAGCCTCTGATTTTTGGTCCAGGTGAATTACCTGTACTTTACAGACTTCCCTATTCCAATCCTAATCATATCCAAGGAATCTGGAGACTAACCTGTTGTGAGTTTGGTGGTCGAGGTGTTATCTTCCAAAGCAGGCGACTCCCTGGTATAACTTGTACACTTTCAGAATTGTCTGGCAGTGGCATTTCATCTGGTTCTGATTTCTCTGAAGCTACTAGCTAGGAATAGGTGCATCACAAAAGATGCATGTTATTATAGAACCAATAAGACTACGTTACTTTCAAAAAACATGAATACAGCACTACAAAGTCTTTGAAACATGCCACTGTCGATAAATAGTCCCAGGTCAGGAGTCATGGGCAAAGGGACTGGGAGGAGAAAATGAATGCTGACCACTTTGAAACATTACTAAAAAAACCGACAGCCTCCTTACTGCATTTACAACATTACCCCAACCTCAAAAGGATAACTACAGGACAGTAGAAAAGAGATTCAAGCAGCAAGGTTTACTGAAGGGTTATAGGCAGTTGGTTAGCTCTGTTGGCTGGATGGCTGGTTTGCACCGCAGAATGATACCAACAGAATGGGTTCAATTCCCACACTACTGAGGTTACCAGGTGTTATAACATGGAGGTTGACCGCCCCCCTTTAATAACTAAAATCGAAACACCCAGAGAAGCTTGTCTCACCTCATAATCTGTTAAAGGAAGTGTGAGAAGTGGTATAACCTGCCTCGCATCTCCCATTCTGTTATAAAAGCAGTGGTTAACTGAAATGAAATCCTTTCACTCACTTTGTAATCAACAAGTAACAATTTATTTATCTAATTCTATCAGTGAACAAATTAACAGAACTACCAACAAACTGAACAATTCCCCCATAACTACTAACTATTCCTGAATAAAACAAAATTCTAATGGTATGCTGTTCCAATAGAAACAAATTCCACTTAAATAAACCACATTAATAAAAAACAAAAAATTAAAACTTAATCTCTCAAAACCACAGTCAGGATACGTCTTCTAGACTGCTCCGTGGCCCCTCCACAGACCGTCAGTCAGGAATGCCTTTTTCTGAATTCTTGTGACATGAACATTTAGCTAAGAGTGCCTCTATACCTTTATTTAGGTCATGGTTATTCTGACAGCTTAGAGAATTCTGTGAGAGGCAGTGATTTTCTCTTTAGAGCTGCTGGTTGTTAACTTGAATAGATGGCAGTGGCTCTTACACCGATTTTCAAAAGACCTCTTCTTTTATACCCTCGATGACCTATTAATTTCTTACAAATAGGATTGGTCTTGGGTTGTCAAAACCATTAGATTTAAATTTAATTGATTTCTAGTTTCTAAGTGCCTGGTTTAAATTAATTGGCTAATTTTCAAACTGGTTGCCTAACTGCTGCCTGGTTTGTTAACCACATAGCGTTTTGATATAATGTTTCAATTTCAGGAGCTCTCTGTGCACTTGCACAGTTTTTTTTTTAAAAATTCTCCAAGCCTAGAAAAAACACATTATCTTTTAAAGGACCATGAACTCTTCCCTGTATCATTTTATAAACATCAAATTCCAATCCACAAATACTCTATCCAACTTCGCAATACCTCTCCACTTTAGAAAAAACAAACCATCAGGATGAAAAGATGGCTTCATTTCTTTTTTTCCCTCTAAACCTTAATGCCATTATTACTAGACCCATAGATCATTAGTCTAGAGTTACACATTTCATATTAGTTCTACATACATATATAACATTGAACACTATCATTTCTATCTTGTATTCACATTTTTCTTTTAAACCCACGATAATGCATTCGCAATAACATTTTCACGACCTGCAACATGTACAATCTGTAGATTAAATGCTTGTAAGACAAGACTCCAACAAAATAGGTTCAGATATAGTAGGAACTGCTGATGCTGGAGAATCTGAGATAACAAGGTATAGAGCTGGATGAACACAGCAGGCCAAGCAGAGGAGGAGCAGGAAAGCCGACATTTTGGGTCTGGACCCATCGGAAGGGGACAGGGACGGGGAAGGGGACGGGGAAGGGGACGTCCAGACCCGAAACGTCAGCTTTCCTGCTCCTCTGATGCTGCTTGGCCTGCTGTGTTCATCCAGCTCTACACGTTGTTACTCCAACAAAATAGTCTGTGTTCTTGTATTTAAATCTTTTCAAAAATGCCAACGGGTTATGATCAGTGTACACAATCGTCTCTGATACATTAACATTAAAATGTTGTATGGCCAGTACCAAGCTCAATAGAGACAAAAAAAGCTGCTGATGCTGGAATCCAAGTAGATAAACAGGAGGTTGGAAGAAATCAGCAGGCCAGGCAGCATCTGGAAGAAAGGAGAAGTCAACGTTTTGGGTATTACCCTTCTTCAGGACTCAATAACTCTTCTTCAATGGTTGAATACTTTCTCTGGTGGATATTGCGTTTCTTTGAAAAATAACTGATGGGCCTTTGAATTCCACAGTCATCCTCCTGTAAAAACACAACTCCAAACTCTACAGTGCTTGCATCAATAGTGACTTTAAAGGATTTCAAGAAATTTGGTGCGGCTAAAAGTGGTGGAATGGTTAACACTGCTTTTAAATTCTTAACAGCCTCCTGGCTTGTTCTGTCCACCTGAAATTTCATATTCTTCTTTAACAAATCCATCAGTGGTGCCACCACGTTACTGAAGTTTGGTACAAACTTCCTGTAGAATTGGCTCAGTTCCAAACATTGTAGCACCTCCTTCTTTGAGGATGGTCTTGGAAATTCCTCTATGGCCTTCGTCTTCATGTTCCTCGGTGTTTTCTATCCGTGTCTGATGGTGTGTCACTTTCACCTTTGCAAATTCTGTTTTTGCTAAATTTATGACAAACTTTGCCTTCTGTACTCTCTCAAAAAGCTCTGCCAAATGTGCCATGTGATCTTTCCATGAATGGCTAAAGATCACTAAATCTATATAGACAGCACAATTAGTCAATCCTACCACAACCCTGTTCATGAGTCTGAAATATGGTTGGTGTATTCTTCATTCCAAAGGGCATTACTTTAAATTGTTATAGTCCATTACAAAAGCAGAAACTTTTCTCTGTCCGACAAAGGTGCTTGTCAATAACTGCAAAGTAAGTCAAGCTTTGTGATGTAAGTGGCTTGTCCAACTTTTTCCCCACACAAGCCTCCTTGGAATTGGTTACAAGTCTGATTTAGTCACGGTGTTGACCTTCCAATAACCTACGCAGAATTGTTGAGTACCATCAGGTTTGGAAACCAACACGATCGGCGAATTCCACTCGCTTTGACTCGGTTTGATGATGTCTTCTTGGAGCATTGCTTCCACTTCCTTCTATACCTGTGCTGCTTTGACAGGATTAAGCCTGGAGGGGTGTTCACAGATCATAGAATCCCTACAGTGTGGAAACTGGCCCTTCAGCCCAACAAGTCCACACCAACGCTCAGACCCATTCCCCTACCCTTTCCCTGTAATCCACCTAACCTACACATCCCTGGACATTATGGGCAATTTAGCATGGCCAATCCACCAAGCCAGCACTTCTTTGGACTGTGGGAGGAAACAGGAGCACCCAGCAAAAACTCACATAGATACAGGGAGAATATGTAAACTCCACACAGATAGTCACCCGAAGGTGGAATCGAACCTGGGTCCCTGGCACTGAGGCGCAGCGGTACTAACCACTGTGCCACCGTGCTGCCCCATAATGGGTGTTGTTTTGTCATAACAGCATTCCCTATGTTCACCTCATGTATTTGTCTATAGTATTTGTCCTCCCCATTCTATTTCTATATATGTCCTAATAGTACTGAAACAAGCCTTTCGATTCAGTTCTCTGTTCCTGAGACAGACAGCTCACTACCCTATCCCATCCTTTAAGGACTTCTTCACTATCCAATTTATTCTGAGACACAAATTCTGAATCATCTAGATTTGATTCCTCACTTGTGTGACAGTAACTAATACCTGTTTCTCCAGTTCCCTTTACCTATCATAGCAAGGTTTCAGCATGTTCACATGGTATACCCAAAAAATGTTTTTTCCTATCTGGCATCTTTACCAGATAATTCACCTGACTTAATTTCTTCTCAATCTGAAAGGAACCACTAAACCTTACTTTGAAGGGATTCCCTATCACTGGTAACAACACCAATACTTTATCCCCATGGGCAAACATATGAATTTTAGATCTCTTATCTGCCTCATGCTTCATTAGATGCTATGTCACCTTCAAATTCTGTCTAGCCAATTCACTGTTTAATCTTTCCCTCACCTCAGATACACAATCCAACTGTGAGATCTTTGATTTTGGATCTATCAACATTTTCCTTAATTAATTTTAAAGGCCCTTTTACTTCATGTCTGATATCAATTCAAATGGAGCAAACTGAGTTGATTCATTTGGGTTATCTCTAATAGCAAACCAAATAAATCGGATACCTTTATCCCAATGATTTGAGTAATCCTGGCAATAAGCCCTCAGCATTGTCCTTAAGGTCTGATGCCACCTTTCCAATGCTCCCTAGGATTCAGGATGGTATGCACTTGACTTAAAGTGCTGGATGCCTAAACTATCCACGACCTCCTTAAATAGTGTGGCAGTAAAATTGAACCTTTGGTCTGAATGAATGTCCCTAGGTAGTCCCTAATGGGTAAAGAAAACAAGCAACTCCTCCACAACCTTTTTTGCCTTGACATTTTGCAATGGAATTGCCTCTGGAAATGTGGGGTAGACACATCCATTATGGTTAGCAAATATGGGTTTCCACTTTTGTTTCTAGGGAGGGGGCCTACACAATCAATAATAACCCGCGTGAAACGTTCTTCAAATGCTCAAATTGGCACCAAAGGCACTGGTTTTATTATTGCCTGTGGCTTTCCTACCATCTGTATGGTAGGACAGGTACGGCAAAATTCAACCACATCTTTATGTAGTCCAGGCCAATAGAAATGCTTCTGTAACTTAGCCTGGGTCTTCCTCACTCCTAGATGACCTCCTACAGGTAATTCATGTGCTACCCACAATACTTCCTAACCGTAAGCTACTGGCAACACAATCTGGTGAACGTCCACTCATTTCTCCTCTATACTAACCTGCCAAGGTCTCCATTTCTGCCTTAGGATTCTATTCTTAAGGTAATAACATTCTGAGTAGACTTTATTACATAAATCTTTTATTGCCTTATCTTTTTGTTGTAACCCCATTAGTCTTTCAGAACTAAACACCTCTGCCTGATCCTCTACCTGCGTAGGTTGTTCCTTTACCATTTTCATCAAACACGATGTCAGCTAACTGGACCTCACCTCCGTCATCTTTTTCTTTGGTTTTCCCCTCTTGCTTTAACTTACACATTATAGTCTGTCAAAGGAAGTGCAAGAAGTGGTATAACCTGCCTCTCACCTCCCAATCTATTAAAAAGGAGTGGTTAACTGAAATGAAATCCTTTCACTCACTCTATAATCAACAAGTAACATTTTATCTATCTAACTCTATCAGTGAACAAATTAACAGAACTACCAACAAACCAAACAATTCCCTCTTAACTACTGATGATTCCTGAATAAAACAAAATTCTAATGACATGCTGTTCCAATAGAAAGAAACCCCACTTATATAAGCCAAACTAATAAAAATAAATTAAAACTTAATCTCTCGAAATTACAGCCAGCATACATCTTCCAGAATGCTCCGCAACCTCACCACTGGTCCTCAGTCTGGAACACTTTACTCCGTCGAATTCTTGTGTCAGGAATATTAGCTAAGAATGCTGCTATACCTTTATTTAGATCATGGTTACTCAGAGCTTAGAGAATTCTGTGCAAGCCAGTGATTTTCGCTTTAGAGCTATTGGTTGTTAACTCTAATAGATGGTAATTGCTCTCACACCGATTTTCAAATGCCCCTCTTCTATTAACTTCTTACAATAAGATTGGTCCTAAGTTGTCAAAACTATCAGATTTAATTTTTTTTAGTTTCTAAGTGGCTGGTTTAAATTAATTGGCTGATTTTCAAACTGGTTGCCTTACTAATAAAAACTACTGCCTGGGTTGCTAACCACACAGCCTTTTGATTTGTTTCAATTTCTGGAGCTCTCTGTGGACCTGCACTTTTCTTTTCTTAAATCTCCAAGCTTATAACAAAAAAAAAACACATCACCTTTTAAAGGGACCACACACTCTTTCCCCCCTCCTCATCATTTTACAAACATCAAATTCTAATGTCCTGCCTTCCAATCCACAAATACTCTACCCAATTTTGCAACACCATGAAGGACTCTCCTCAACCTCTTCCCTTTCCTGAGGCATGGTGATCCTCAGGTAAAACCATCACCAGTGGTCTCTAAAGGAGACAGCAGCTCTAATGGTTTGGTAGGACTATAGTGATTTTACTTATACTGAAGGATTTCAGTGCATTAAATGGGTCAAGATTTTATGAACGGCTTTAGGATCCAACCACAGGGCCAAATGGGAATCCCAAGGCTACACTTGGTGTCAGTGAAATAGGTTTTAAAATCTTCCTGGAGGCGCCTCCAGACCCGTGATTCCCAGTGGGGTGTAGGTAATTCATGCCCAATCTGAGGGCTGGTAGCTCTGGAGCCTTGGATGCCCACCAGAGGAGGTTGAATGCAGCGAAGGAAAGTCAGGCATCAAAAGGCACCTCATCACAGCCACTTGCTTGGAAACAAAAATAGAAAATTCAGTTTTGGAGGGAACAAGCAGGCAGACCCGTCGAGTGTTCCAAAGGAGTCACAAGAATGGTCTTTACACACTGATACAACTTAGGGTCACAGAGCCTCCATAAAATCTAAAAGCAGGAGCAGAAGTAAGATAGTTGGGGCCTGAAAGCTACCCCACCATTGAATTAAGCCATGGCTAAGCTGATAATATTATAACTCCACTTTCTTGCTTATACGTCTGGGCCCCCTATCTATCAAAAAATCTGTCAAACCCAGTCTTGAATCCATTCAATTACTCAGCCTTCACTGCTGTTGAGGTAGGACTATTTCACAGATCAACAATTCTCCAAGGAAAACATTTTTTCCTCATCTCAGTCTGAAAGCATTCCCTAGTTCATCCACCCTGTCAGGTTCCCTCAGGATCTTACAGGTTTCAGTTACTTCACCTCTCATTCCTTTGAAGTCCAATGAGTATCTATCCATTCTGCTCAATTCTCCCCCATTAAATAATCCCTCCATTCCAGGGATAAGCCACCTGAAACTTCTCTAAACAGCCTCCAACGTAAGTATATGCCTCCTTAAGCCAGGAGGCTAAAACTGTACACAATACTCCAAGTGCATTCATACCCATGGACTGTACAGTCTGTAATTAGAATTCTCTGCATTTATATTCCAGCACCATTGCAAGGAAGGCCTACATTCCATTTGCCTTCTCATTTACAATAGTCCCACCCCCAGAGAGAGTGTCTGTACCAAGCCAAAGGCCTCCTTAATTAACTGGGAGCTACTCTGCCACAGACAGAATTCTAGGTCTGGAAAATTAGTTTAAACAGGGCCTTTATCTAAATTACAGCTCACCTCGGTTCAGGAGGCAGGCCTTCTGTATCCCAACCATATCCTTGTTCATCACTGGAAAAGTTCCGTAGGTTATTGCCCAATGCAACACTTCATTACTCCCCCACCTCCTCAAATAGCACTCCCCCCACTGAGGCCAGAAAATTTAACAAAATTATAGGAAGGTAAGACAAATGGAGATAGTCAGGTGTTTGGGAGGGATTTCTATAAGAATGAGCCTCAGAGGCTGAAGGTACAAACCCTAACAATGGGGTTTAGGGAGGGGTGAACATATACAAATGACATGGGAGGTTTGACAGTGTGGAGTTCCGTAGAGCTGGAGGAGGTTTGAGATAGTGAGAAAGAGGGCTCTATAGGTATATACAGAGAATGAGTAGAATTCCTCTGTTTCTTGGGCAACTGGTGCCCAACCAAGAACAAATCCAAATGAATCCAGTTCAATACAAATCCCCACTGGAGCTATTGGTATTACTACACAGAGTAAAGAATGACAGCACCCATTTCAGCCAAACTTTTGGAATGGGTCATTTTTAAATTAATTCAGAACGATTCCATACTTACTGGTTTGCTCAACTTCCTCTCCTCGGAGTTTTTCTTGTCATTTTTTTTGTAGGCATCAAATGTATTGGGGTCAATTGCCCACAGACACTCTGTCCATTTTCCATAGACAGCACAGAGCTTCTTCTTACTGTGTCAGATCACAGAAAGGATGCAGTGTAATCAATCAAGTGTGACAGATTATTAATTCATCAGTACTGTGAGATACCATTACATTATCTTAACAAATGGAGCAGCTCCTTTGGCATGAGAACTGAAGCATGCAGCAGACGAGGGGGAAAGGTGACCAGGTACAGCTTAACTTAATCTACTCCGCTCCCATCAAACCCTACCATTCCCTCCTCTTTCTCCACCTACCCACCTCAAATCCCGCCAAACCATTCCACAGGTATCATCACCCAACTGGAATATTGTGAAGGGTTTTGGGCTTCTGAAGCAGTGGTTAGCACTGCTACCTCACAGCACCAGGGACCTGGATTCGATTCCACCCTCGGGCGACTGTCTGTGTGGAGTTTGCACATTCTCCCTGTGTCTACGTGGGTTTCCTCCGGGTGCTCCGGTTTCCTCCCACAGTCTAATGATGTGCACACTAGGTGTGGCCATGCTAAACTGCCCGTAGTGTTCAGGGATATGGAGATCAGGTGGGTTATAGGGGGATGGGTCAGTGTGGAATTGTTGGGCCGAAGGGCCTGTTTCCACTCTGTAGGGATTCTATGATTCTTATTTAAGGAAGCATATATTGGCATTAGAGGCACTGCAGAGGAAGTTCACTACGCTGATACCAGGTATTGGAGGGACTGTCTCATGAGGAGAGCTTGAGTAGATTGAGCCTGTACTTGGCAGAATGTAGAAGAATGAGAGGTTACTTTATTGAAACATATAAAGGTTCTTAAAGTAATTAACAAGGTGCAGAAAGGTTGTTTCTCCTTGTAGGGCAGCGTAGGGCCAGAGGACATCATCTCAGAATAAGGGGTACTACTACATTTAAGATAGAGATGAGGAGGAACTTCTCTCAGAAGTTTACGAATCTATGGAATTCTTTACTACAGAGGTCTGTCAAGCCTGGCTCGTTAAATTCCAGACTAAGAGACACACATTTTTATTTAGTAAGAGAATCAAGGGTTAAAAGGTAATAGGCAGGAAAGTGGAGTAGGGGATTATCAGATCAGTCAGGATCTCATGGAATGGCAGAGCAGACTTCATTGCTGAATGGCCTACACTTCTGTTCTTATGTCTTTGGATCAAATGGAATAAGATCATATCACCTCTCTCTCCGCTGCAGGTACTGGGAGAGGCATGCAAAACAGAAAAAATACTTTAGGAAGAAATTCCTTCCAAATGATCATGGTATGAATATTCTTGTTTGATATGATTCAAGCAATCATAGGGTTACTGATGTTCATGTCTGTAGATGGCTAAACAAGCTCATGTTTTTATTCCAATATTTTCTTTTAGTTAAACAGCAGTAAAGCTGCATGGCAATCCTGAAATCTGCCTTGAATAAGACCGTGCACTTTCAGATCCGTTCATGGGATGTGAATATCACCGGCTGGACAAGCATTCATCGCCCCTAATTGCCCCTGAAATGGTGATGCTGAGCTGCCTTCTTGAATTCCTGAAGTCCATGTAACTAAGGGTCACCAACAATGCTGCTAAAGTTGGAGTTCCAGGATTTTGACCCCGTGACAGTGAAGGAATAGTATTATAATTCCAAATAAAAATAGCAAGTGGTTTGGAGGGGAACTTGTGTGTTACCACATATTTGTTGCTCTTTTCCTTCTAGGTAGTAGAGGTCACAGGTTTGGAACTTGCTTTCTAAGGAGCCTTGGTGATTTTTTAAAAAAATTCATTCATGGGATGTGCGCATCACCGGCGGGACCAGCCAATCCCTAACTGCCCAGAGGGCAGTTAAGAGTCAACCACATTGCTGTGGGTCTGGAATCACATGTAGGCCAGACCAGGTAAGGATGGCAGATTTTTTTCCCTAAAGGACATTAGTGACCAGATGGGTTTTTCCTGACAATCAGCAATGGTTTCATGGTCATCATTAGACTCTTAATTCCAGATTATTATTGAATTTAAATTCCATCGTGTGTCATGGCGGAATTCGAACCCAGGTCCCCAGAATGTTACGTATGTCTCTGGATTAATAGTCTAGCGATAGTACCACTAGACCAGCGCCTACCCCTGCAGTGTATCTTGTAAATGGTATACGCTGCTGCTACTGAACAATGATGGTGGAGGAAGTGGATGTTTGTGAATGCAGTTCCAATCGAGCGGGCTGCTTTGTCTTGGATGGTGTCAAACTTTTTGATTGTTGGAGCTGCACTCATCCAGGCAAGTGGGGAGTATTCCATCACACTTCTGACTTGTGCCTTGTACAGAGTTGATAGTATGATTAGAGCAATTTAACCTAATGCAGGAGGCGGCAAGGGAAGGGATAAATGAGCTGGGGGTGAAGATGGAAGTGAAACCACATTGTGGTGGGAATCAGAAGTACATGAGATAGCGGAGGTCAGTCTCATTTACTTGATCAGATTTACAATGAAACTTTTGGCATTTTGTATCAGGAGTGTGAAAGAGATTTATGGTGAGAGAATGGAGTTGTTCTTTTTCCTAGGATGGTCCAGGAATAGGAAGAGATCTTCACCGACAAGAGAGAGTCCTAATAATTTTTGCTCATGGTTTCGTGAAATATGCTTTAAAACAACCAAACCAGACTTACTTCAAGATACAAATAAGAAACTGTAGTGGGGGTGTATCATACCTCTAGTGATATACCTGTATGATAGTACCCCAGTACAATACAGTTGGCCCTGACAGGTTTCCCTGAGCATCTCGTCTGAATCTTAAGTCAGAACGATTGATGTACTAGTTGTAATGACAGTGACCTCTGCTTCCAAAGGCAACTGAGCACAGTTTTGACCTTCTTACTTACAAAACGAGGCATTTCTTGCAGATGGAGAGCAACAAAGTAACTAACTCCATGAGAAAAGAGTAAATCGACTGGAGCTTTATTCTGCGGAGTTTGGAGGAATCAGAGATGATCTTAAACAAACAAATTTTTTACAGCGTTCAACAGGGTAGGTGCTAGAAGGATACTTCCACCTGGCTGGAGGTCTTGAATTAGGGAACACAATTTCAGACAAAAGGGCAGGGCATTTAGGACTGGGATGAAAAATGTCTTCACTCAGAGGGAGGCGAATCTTTGGAATTCTCTGCTCCAGACATCTGTGGAGGCTCAGTCATTGGCAATGTTCCAAACTGAAACTGATACATTGCTACATATGACAAAAATCTAACTATGAGGGGTATGCAGGAAAATGATGAAGTAAATGATCTCAATGAGATTAAAATTAATTAAAATCTCAATTTTAATTTTCCAAACACTGACTGGGTCTACCATAGTGTTAAAGGTTTGGATGGTGAAGTACTTGTTAAGTGTGTTCAAGAAAATTCTCTTTATCAATATGTAAATGTTCCTACTAGAGAAGGAGCAAAACCTGACCTTCTCTTGGGTAATAAGACAGGGCAAGTGACTGAAGTGACAGTAGGGGAACACTTTAGGTCAAAGTGATCATAATTCTATTTATTTTGAAATAGTTATAGAAAAAGATAAACATTCCATAAAAATTAAAGCTTTTAATTGGAGTTTAATTTGAGGAGGCGGCGATTGCCTAGTGGTATTATCACTGGACTGTGAATCCAGAGACCCAGGTAATGTTCTGGGGACCTGGGTTCGAATCCCGCCATGGTAGATGGTGGAATTTGAATTCAATAAATATCTGGAATTGAGTCTCATGATGCCCATGAATCCATTGCTGATTGTTGGAAAAAACCCATCTGGTTCACTAATGTCCTTTAGGGAAGGAAACTGCCATCTCTATCTAGTCTGGCCTACATGCGACTCCAGACCCATAGCAATGTGGTTGACTCTTAGCTGTCCTCTGGGCAATTAGGAATGAGCAACAAATGCTGCTTAGCCAGCGAAGAATGAATAAAGAAAAATTGGAGTAAGTCAAATTTTAATGGAATGAGACAAGAACTTTCAAAAATTGTTTGGAGTAGACTGTTCGCAGGTAAAGGGACGTCTGATAAACAGGAGGCTTTCAAAAGTGATAACAGGAGTTGAGTCATTATGTTCTTGTTAGAGTGAAAGGTAAGGTTGGTAGTACAAAGATATTAAGGTTCTAGTCAAAAATAGAAAAGAATCATATATTAGATATTAACAACTGGTTTCAAATGAATCTCTTGAACAGCATAAAGAGTGTTGGGGCATTCTTAAGAGGAGATCAGGAAAGCAAAGAGAGGATATGAGATAGCCTTGGCAAATGAGGTTAAGGATAATCCAAAGAGATTCTACATTAAGAGCAAGAGTACAACTACAGAGAGAATAAGGCCCCTTAAAGACCAAAGAAGTAGTCTTTGTGTTGAACTCTTGGAGATGGGAGAGATATTAAATGAATATTTTGCGTCAGTTTTTACTGTGGAGAAAGAAATGGAGGCTAGAGAACTCCAGGAAATAAATATTGATGTTTTGAAAACAGTTCACATTACAGAAGAGGAAGTGCGGGAAGTCTTAGAAAATATAAAGATGGATAAATCTCCAGGACCTGATCTAGTATATCCCAGGACTTTGTAGGAAGTTAGGGAGGAAATTGTAGGGGCCTTTGCAGAAATATTTATATGATTTATAAATGTGGGTGAGGTGCTGAATGACTGGAGAGTGGATAATGTTGTGCCTTTGATTGAGCAGGGATGTAAGGAAAAGCCTGGGAACTATAGACCTAGGAGACTGACCTCAATGGTAGGTAAGTCGTTGGAAGTGATTCTGAAAGGTTGTACAGGATGGGCATTGGTGAGGCCACTTTTGGAGTACTGTGTACAGTTCTGGTCACCCTGCTATAGGAAGGATATTATTAAAATGAAGATGGTTCAGAAAAGATCTACAAGGATGTTGCTGGGACCTGGAGATTGGAGTTATAAGGAGAGGCTGATTGGCTGGGACTTTTTCCACTGGACTGTAGGAGGTTGAGAGGTTTATAAAATCACGAGGGGCATAGATATGGTGAATAGCAAAGGTCTTTTCCCTAGGGTAGGATCTTTCAAAATTAGCTGGCATATTTCCAAGGTGAGAGGAGAAAGATTTAGAAGGGATCTGAGGGGCAACATTTTCAAACAGAGTGATTCGTGTGAAATAAACTGCCAAAGGAAGTCATAAATGCAGGGGCACTTATAACATTTAAAAGACATTTGGACAGGCACATGAATAGGAAAGGTTTAGAAGGATATGGGCCAAACGCAGGCAAGTGGGACTAGTTTAGTTTTGGGAAACTTTGTCGGCATGGACTAGTTGGACCGAAGCATCTGTTTCCATGCATTATGAATCTATGACTCCTCTCATCGTAGTCTACATTTATTAGTACTGGTGTGATTGGCTTAGCACATCTTCTGAAATTCCATTTGCACAATAACCTTATTTGTTACAACTGCAGCTGTAAAAATAAACATCCAGCTACCTCATTTTTAAGGTTATTTGAAATCAGCAGCATTAATTGGAACAAAACCACAGAAGGAAGCCATGTAGCCCTTCAAGTCTGTTTTGTCAGTCAGTGCGATCATGGCTGATCTGCAACATAACTCCATATATCCATCTTTTCTCTGTATTCCTAAATATCTTTCTAAGGTGTGATGCAAAATTGCTTACAGTGACTCTAGCAGGGTTGGTAAAGTTGAAGCTAGAAAGCAGGTTTAGCATCGCTGCAATGTTTCAGATGACGCGATACCAAGGTCAAGCAGAGCATTAAGGGCAAAGGATTATCTTTAAATACAACTGCCTGAACAGATTAAGCTTACCTTTTGTCCTGGATGTAACCTTCAACTTTGTGCAACTCTTTACCAAAAAGGCCACATGGCTTGAAATTCAGAATGCATTTTTCCCCAGTTCTGCAGAAAAATTATCTTCATAATTACATCTTAAAATTGTACTAATTTTGAAAATCTGAAGGAAGTCATTCATTCATTCTTACTTGTGATTAATTATTTCAACATTTCCATATTGTTCAATCCAAAGCTGACCAACGATAATGTTATGGACACAGCAAGTTGGATTTGTCCAAGTGTAAGCTTCATTGTGCCTGCGAGAAAATGCAAAACATTAATCTCAAATGCTGTTACATGGAGCAGGGTCATCAGCATCTGAAAAAGAAAGTCATACTCTTCTTTAAATTATCTGTTATTTTTAAGTTTTCTGGCCTTTCATTTCACATGCCAGCTTAGTTCTTTGCAAAAGAAGAAGATAAAATGTCCACATGCTCATGAAGATAAGAAAGGTTATGACTAAGAATTGGAACTTTTTTGCAGCCTGAATCAGTACTGCTGGTTTGGACAAAGCTTAACCAAATACAGAATTAAAAACTTCCTGCTACTCTGCGTGAGCTGCGCTCTACAGAACTGATCTGTTCAAAATGTATCACATTCCTGTTGAATCTGGGCTTTTTGAGTTTATTACCTGCAATTTTGTACCATAGGCTGGAGGGTGCAAGCCAACCCCTAATTTATCTCAGTCAGCCTTTCAGGCATTGGAGAGGAAACTCCCCTGCCAATTAAAGTGCTTTAAATTAACACTTGAATGTGCGATCAATGTACAATTTGGCACTTTACATTACAGGTCCTTCACAAAACTGTTCAAAATGAAACCAATTCACAAATTATCTTGTACTTTATGATCTATAGCTTTAGCCAAATAAAAATCACTGATAGCTGATAGATTGTTGTTCTTTAGGCAAAGGCTACATTTGTTGATATCAATGCCCGAGTGCTATGGACCACTTTAAATGGCATGTATGCAGGAAGGCGTGGTGGTGGTGGATGGGAATGTTGGGTTCTGGGAGGAGCACCAGAGGAGAGCTGGGGTGGAAGACAGCTGGAGGGGAGTGCGGAAGGGAGACAGAGGAGGAGAGTGTCTCCTGGCTCCTTCTAGCATCACCCCACTCCCCAGCTTCTGGGCCCTCTTCCCTTCTCAATGCAGGGCATCCCCCCCGACCCCCATTCAATGCCTGGGATCCTAACCCTAACCCACTTAAGCCCAGTTCTATGTGATGACATCAGTACTTGGAACCAAGCATTCCCCAACGAGCATGTATACACAATTGCTCACAGTTGCTGGTGTCAGCAAACACGAACAAGCTACAAATGTTTTGTGCCTGTGCAACTACATATATGTCCCTCTTGGCTTGCACTAAGGATACAAGTTTATCTGCCACATATTTAACAAGGCCCAACAAGATCCCCAAGTTAAACAGCCAGAAAGATTTGATTCCCAGATTGTGCTGAGTACACAGTCAATTCTTTGGTTTCCTCATTCTTTCCCAAGTCTACTCCAGTTGTATCAGAGACAGTAGGAACTGCAGATGCTGGAAAATCTGAGATAACAAGGTGTAGGGCCTGCTGTGTTCATCCAGCTAAGCAGCATTTTAGGAGCAGCAAGGCTGGCGTTTCGGGCCTAGACCCTTCATCAGAAAATTTTCTGATGAAGGGAAGGGTCTAGGCCCGAAACATAGGCCTTCCTGCTCCTATGATGCTGCTTGGCCTGCTGTGTTCATCCAGCTCTACACCTTGTTATCTCTACTCCAGTTGTACCTGTTGAACACACTTGATTTAAGACAAGATCCCCTCATTAATCAGGGGTACATGAAGGCTCTGGGAAAGCATAAGCATTTTTCTTTGGCTTGGGTATTCACCCAAATTTACCTAAATTCTCATGTAAGGATGCAGTCTTGCAATAACCATTAGTAAACAATTAGATTTTCCTTTTACATAAGTTAGGGACAGATGGTAAACTGCTGTAGTACAAAATCCCCATTGTTTAGCAACACATTTGCACCCAAGACCAGTTTACAAGAACTCAATTTTAATATTAACAGCTCGCCTTTAAGCAAACTGCTAAATGTTCTTTATCACTGTTCACCCATATTACAACCAAATTCATCAAGCCTGGCTGCAGAACAACTCTTGTGGCTTCCAAAGCTGCTGAAACTTAACTGTTACTTTAAAGCAGGTTCGCTCTCAAGAGCATCCAGAACGGTTTCTACACTAACGTCTTCCTACACACATCCACTCCTTCCACCTCAGATACTCAGCAGCAACAGCGTTCAGCAAAGAAATGAAACTGGACAGACCAGCCAGTATCGATCTAGGTGCCAGAAAAGACAACAGCAGAAACATCCCTGTCGACCCTGCAAAGTCCTCCTCACCAACATCTGGGGGCAAGTCTGAGAGCTGTCTCACAGACTTGTCTAGCAACAGAAACGGAAACAGAAGTTGCTGGAAAAGCTCAGCAGGTCTGGCAGCATCTGAGGAGAGAAATCAAAGTTAACATTTCGGCTCCTTCCTCAGAATGGGTCACAAGACCTGAAACGTTAACACTAGTTTCTCTTCAGAGATGCTGCCGGACCTGCTGAGCTTTTCCAGCAACTTTTGTTTCTGTTTCTGATTTAGTCAAGCAACAGCCTGACATAATCCTGCCTTTCCTGGGTATGTCCTGACCTTGACATGGCATGGTGACACAGCTGTATTCAGTCAACATTGACTCTGGACATCATGAAGTCTGGTTTCAGGTTAAACATGGGCAAGGAAACCTCCTGCTGATTACCATGTCCTGTCCTCCCTCGGCTGATGAAGAATCAGTACTCCATGTTGAACAACACTTGGAGGAAGCAGTGGGGATGGTAAGGGCACAAATGTACTCCGGGTGGGAAAATTCAGCATTCAACACCAGGAGTGGCTCAGCAGCAGTACCTACTGATCAAAGTAGTTGGGTCCTAAAGTACATAGCTACTAGCCTGGGTCCGCAGCACGTGGTGTGGAACCAATGAGAGAAGAACATACATGACCTTCTTGAACTTATGAACATCTGTCCTTAACAGTAATCGGTAAGAGTGACCACCACACAGTCCTTGTAGCAAAGAAGTCCCATCTTCACATTGTGAATGCCTTCCATCATGTTGTGTGACACTATCAACATGCTAAATGGGTCAGACTTCAAACAGATCAAGCAACTCTAGATGCCTCGTGGGTATCCATGAGGCACTGTGGGCTATCAACAGCAATGGAATTGTTCTCCAGCACAATTTGTAACCTCATGGCCTGGCATATCCCCCATTCAACTATTACCATCAGCCAGAGGATTAACAATGGTTCAATGGAGAGTGCAGGAAGGCTTGCCAAAAGCAGCACCAGGCATAGTTAAAAATGAGGAGTCAACCTGGTGAAGTTACTAAACAGGATTACTCGCATGCACAGCAAGTGATAGAGATATGTGACCCCACAACACACAGATCAGAACAAGCCATGTATGGTGGAGGACAATTAAACAACTCACTGTAGGTGGAGGCTTCACAAATATTCTCAATAATGGAACAACCTAATATAAATGCAAAAGATTTGGCTGAAGGATTCGCAATAATCTTCAGCCAGATGTGCCAATTAGATGATCCATCTTGGCCTCCTCCAGTGATCCAAACTTTACAGATACTTGTGTTCGATTCACTCCACATGAGATCAAGAAACCGTAGGAGGCACTGGAGGCTATGCGCCCTAACAACATTCCTGAAGAAATGTGTTCCAGAACATGCCGCTCCCCTAGTCAAGCTCTTCCAGCACAGTTACAATACTGGCATATACCCAACAATATGGAAAACTGCTCAGGTATGACCTGTACACGAAAAGCAGGACCAATCTAACTCAGCCATTTACCACCCCATCAGTCTACTCTCGATCATTAGTAAAGTGATGGAAGGTGCCATCACCATTGCTATCAAGTAGCACCTGCTCAGCAACGTCCAGTTTGGGTTCTGCCAGGGCCATTCTGCTTGTGACCTCATTACAGACTTAATTAAACATGGACAAAAAAAAGCTGAATTCCAGAGGCGAAGTGAGAGTGGCAGCTCTTGACGACAATGCTGCATTCAACAGGAATGTTGCATCAAGGATGCTAGCAAAACTGGAATCAATGGCTATTAACCAGCAAACTTTCCACTGGTTGGAATAATTTCATGATTGTGGTCATTGAAGGTCAGTCATCTCAGCCCCAGGATATCTCTATAGGAGTTCCTCAGGGTATTGTCCCAGGCTGAACCATCCTCAGCTGTTTCATCAATGGCCTGACCTCAATCATAAGGTCAGAAGTGGGAATGTTTGCCAATGATTGCATGTCCGGCTTCATTCGCATATCCTCAGATACCAAGCAGTCCAATGTTCAAAAGCAACAAGATCCAGACAATATCCAGGCTTGGGCTGACAAATGGCAAGGAACATTCACACCACATAAAGACCACATCCAATAACAGACAATCTACTCATCGCCCTTTGACATTCAATTGTTTACCATCGCTGAATTCTCCACTATCAACATCCTTGGGAATTACCATTGATGAGAAGCTCAACTGGACCCATGACATAAACAGAGGCTAAAATAGCAGGTCAGAGATTAAGAATACTGCAATGAGTAACTCACCTCCTGACTCCCCAAACCCTGTCCACCATTTACAAGGCAAAAGTAAGGAATATGATGGAGTACTCCCCACATGTAGGTCCAAAACACTCAAGAAGCTTGATACTATCCAGGACAAAGCAACATGCTTGATTGGCACCACATCCCATCCACTCCCTCTACCACCACCGATGCTCAGTAGCAGCAGTGTGTACTTATCTACAAGATGCACTGCAGAAATTCACAAAAAGATCCTCTGACAGCACCTGCCAAACCTATGGTCACTTCCATCTAGAGGAACAAGGACTACAGATACTGGGGGAGTCAATGGCCTGATGGTATTATCGCTGGGCTGTGAATCCAGAGACCCAGATAATGTTCTGGGGACCTGGGTTCGAATCCCGCCAAGGTAGATGGTGGAATTTGAATTCAATGAATATCTGGAATTAAGTATCTAACAGTGTCCGTGAATCCATTGTCGATGGTCGGGAAAACCCATCTGGTTCACTAATGTCCTTTAGGGAAAGAAATTGCAATCCTTACCTAGTCTGGCCCGCATGTGACTTCAGACACACTGCAATGTGGTTGACTCTGAACTGCCCTCTGAGCAATTAGGGATGGGCAATAAACGCTGCCTAGCCAGCGAGGCCATCATCCCATGAATGAATCAAAAAAAGATACAGGGAAAGTCCAGTACTTGCAAATTTCCCTCCAAGCCACTCATCATCCTCACTTGAAAATATATCGCTGTTCCTTCACTGTCACTGGGTCAAAATCCTAGCATACTCTCCCTCAGGGTATGTCAACCTATATAAGGTGGACTACAGCGGTTTAAGAAGGAAGCTCACCATCACCATTTCAAGAGCAACTAGGGACAAGCAATGAATGCTCACATGCCAGGAATGACCTCATCTCACAAGCAAATAAAAAAACCTCATCAATTAGATGCACTGCAGAAATTCACTAAGCCTACTTGGACAGCACTTACCAAACACAACCCTATCCATATACAGAAAGTAAAATCACCATAATTTTCCCAGAACATGGGGCTGCTGTCCCATTAGAATAAGACAACTGGTGGTGCTTTAAACTCAGGTTCACGTCTCATGTGAGCAAGAGATTGAGAAGGAGAGTCCTTTATGATAATCTCAGCTGGTGTGAGAATTGAACCGATGCTGTTGGCTGTATGACAAACCAAATGCCCAGCCAACTGAGCTAACCTGGACAAGGGCAGCAGGTACATGGGGAACACCACCACCTACAAATTCCCCTTCAAGCCACTCCTTTGACTTGGAAATATATCTCTATTCCTTCAGTGTCATTGGGTCAAAATCTCAGAACTCCCTCCAACTAACTATCTGATCTGCTTCAGTTCAACAAATGGCTCACTACCACCATACTCTCCCGGGCAATAAATGCTGGCTCAGCTAACAACACCCACATCCAGTGAGTAAACAAAATAAAAATCAGAGTATTCAGCATTTCAAGCTAGTTCCACCATTTAGTCAGATCACAGTGGATCTGTGTCCTAATTCCATCCTGCTTTAATTAATTTCACTTGCTTATCAAGAAAATATTTATCACTTACATTAAAAGTTCCAATGTCATAGTTCCTTTTGGCTCTGCTTCCACACTTTTCCCCCAAAATTTAAGTTTTGGGTATATGGATCCATGAAAAACAAAGTTTTGAGTGAGTCCTTCAGCATGGAAGGCACTGATGGGAGGATGGTGACTAACTTGCTCAGATATAAGCTTGAATCCCAGATCCTGCCTGTAAAAAAATGAAAAGGTTGACCATGATATTAACCAATTCAATATAGGTACTTCAGGACATTTCATAACTGAGTGTTTGGAATACAGTACTTCACAGCCTTACTTTGGACTTGGAGCAAAACACAGAGCTCAAGATGCTTTCCATTGATTACAAATGAAAGTCAAGCACAGATGATGCTCGGGGTGGGGTGGGCAGCACACGCATGCGTGCGTGCATGTGTGTGCGCGGTGGTGAATCCCAGATTGACAGAATTCAGTAATAATCCAGAAATACAGCCTAATGATGACCATCAAACTGTTACTGGCTGCCAGGGAAAAACCCACCTAGTTCACTAATCTGAGACAACAAGGTATAGAGCTGGATGAACACAGCAGGCCAAGCAGCATCATAGGAGCAGGAAGGCTGACGTTTCGGGCCTAGACCCTTCATCAGAAAACCCAAAACGTCAGCCTTCCTGCTCCTATGATGCTGCTTGGCCTGCTGTTTTCATCCAGCTCTGCACCAGTTGTCTCAGATTCTCCAGCATCTGCAGTTCCTACTACCTCCAATTCACTAATCTGCCATCTTTATCTAGTCTGGCCTACTACGTGACTCCAGACCCACAGCGATGTGGTTGACTCTTAACTGACCCCTGAGCAATTAGGAATGGACAATAAATGCTGGCCTAGGTACCGACGCCCACAACCCATGAATGAAAAGAAAAAAAAGCAGATCATTCAGCCCAACAAATCTCTGCTGATATTTCAGCTCCATTCCAGTGGTGATACAACAGAAGACTGACATATACAAAAATTTATCAATGTTAACTGCTTGAAACAAAATAAGTTAGTCTGCCAATATATTTGTACAAGTTTCTCACCTAATCATTTCATATGTCTCTCCAAGGAGTGGGTTAAATGGTTTTCCTGTTCTTTCCCACTGAGATGCAACAGCTGAAACTGCAAATGCTGCCACACACTGTTTTATGAGTTATAAATACAGAAAATAATTACTTCTGAATAAAATTAAAAATTATAACTGTTAGGGTTACAGTCAATATTATAACAGCTCTATCAATAACAGTCTAAATGAAACAATATAGCACTATGCTAAAAAGAAGCAAAGTCTAAGAGGGAAGATGATATTTCATCCAATGTGCTTCCTCACCACTCATTATACAATTATTACAAATATATCAAGAATTGAACTTGGTTTTCTTTCCAAAAATAAAAAGAACAGAATGTCAATTTTCCTTGGAGAACAAACGCTCGAGTTGGGTCTCCATCACGTTTTGGCCCCCATCACCTTGTCATTGGAAAGTGGCCTCTTCCAGCATTTGCACCGGAAAAACTGGAAATGAGGAATTAAGGGCCAACACAATTGTTGTTCTCCAGCTGTCTAAACCCAGGGGAGGATGCAGCCCAAGTCAAAATTGTGGTTTCCAAGGGTCAGATCAATCCAGAACAGATAAAGCAGTCAAACTTCCCACCAAACTTAGCCTAATCATAGTTCCTTTAAAAGTATGTATTATATGACCAAATGAATAGAATGCTGGGGAAGTAGCCTAGTATACTGCAGCTCAATTTTTAATTTTTTTTTTATTATTAACCTGATTTTCTAATCAACCTGCTCAGAGATGCTATTACTGCCTTCTGGAGCAAGTGGGACTTGAACCTAGGCCTCTCTGGTTCTGATCCAGGAGCAGGGACACTACCACTGCACCACAAGAGGGCCCACAGAAATGCTGTCATCATGATAAATTAGCAGAATACATAAACCTTCATTGCCTGACCAGGAATCAAACCCAGGTCACAGCAATGAAAGTGCCGAATCCTAACCACTAGGCATCATTGAAACAACGTAATGAGAAATTGTGGAATCTGGCTCAGAGGGATTTGGGTGCCCTGGTACATGAATCACAAAATGATAGTACTGCAGGTACAATGAGTGACTGGGAAGGTAAATAGAATGTTGCCACTGATTGCAATGGGAATGCAACATAAAAAGTAGAGAAGATCTATTGCAGTAGCACAGTGCATTGGTGAAAAGTACTGTGAACAGATTTTAGTCTCCTTGTTTGGAAAAGGACATAGTCACGTTAGAAGCAGTTCAGAGAAGGCTTTGACTTCTGTGCTTATGAAGAAAGCTTAAAATGTTCGGCCTTTATTGGAATTTAGAAGAAGGAGGGTTGATCTAACATACAAGATTCTGGGGGGACTTGACAGGGGGATGCTAAAACAAT